GTTTATTTTGTAATTAGATGTTTTGCTGTTCAGCAGCAGCCTCCCATTGTTAGAGATATTATCTTTATTGCAATAAATACAGAATATTTTTGGAATATACGAAGACGTACACACAGGTCAGTTATTGGCGCTGTACTATTTCAGCTTTCTAATTGGTGATTTCAGCACAAACGAGAGTTTATATTTAAAAGTGATATAAGGCTCATTCGCTTGATAACTTGCCAGGGATGGATGGCCCTTATTTTGTCTCTATTTCTGGTTATATACTCGATGTATTACGTAAACTGTCACTCCTCCAGCACCAAGGAGCTACCTTAGGGTAAGCCTGTAGATACTGAACCAATCCAATAAACTTTAACTCAACTTATAAAAAATTAAATATCAGTTTTGACATTAAAAGTGACGAACAAGTATTCCCTAAAGCCGTGTGCGCAAGTCGCTGTTAGAGAACTAAACTACACCATAACCGGCGGTTCCCCACACGGCAGTAGACACGTCTTTACGTGAGTAATCCAAAAACCTAAATTTAGATAAAACATTAATATAATGTATTGTTGAAATTGTTCCATCCACACATTTTACTCAACTACGGTGAAGTCCAAGGAAGGAATTTTAATTCTACACAGGTTGTGAAGACAAATGGGCCTACCGTATTACAGCTGGTGAAGTACTATCGTAATAATCAAGAACTTTAAAAAAAATGCAGATAGCATTTTTGGTTCCCTGTATATGCGTCTAATTAATTAATAGTTTACTAATAATATACTAAACTAGGCATCAAAATTCTACGAACGCGTTGCCACAAATAAAATCAAAATTTATCTCAACTACAAGATTGTCACTAAGTTATACATTAAAAATCTACCAAAACCCGACAACGCAAAGACATAACCGCCCATTGTCACAGACTTATTTACATTACAACTGGTGTACAGTACTCCTGTCTTCAACTACAGAAACAATAGCTCATTGAGTATTTTTTCGTCTTTTTTTCTAGAGCCTTTTACCAGGTTATCGCCTCTTTCACACCATGGTTTCCATCTCGTATTTGTCACTCAATATTTCTTCCCCATACTGTCTAATAACATATCCCACATGACAACTAACATAGTATTATCCCAAAATGGCTTTAATTTATATTAATATTACCTATTTAGTTTCAAAGCGACTGTATTGACCTGTCACTTTGAAATTAAATCGTATATGAATGACACTCAAAAATTATTAATATAACGCAATTTTGAGATAAAATATAACATGACGCCATTTTTGAGATAATACTATGTTAGTTGTCACGTGCGATATAACCTTTCCACCTCATCGACTGTCTAATAACATATAACTTTTCTACCCCATCAGCTGTCTAATAAATAGCACCTTCCTTCCCCGTCGACTGTCTAACAAAACTTAAGTGGACGAAACAATATCAATAATAATTATTTTACAAACAAATTAATGAATAGAAATACATAACGAACGCTTCTCAGAAGTGCCTATTTACGTTTGTGATTTCAAAAGTCACACCCTGTTTTTTATGACAAAACTAAGTTTTTGGCAACGCAGTAGCCATTGAATGATTGTGTAATATTTGACTTTTATATCATCTTTAGAAGCTACAAATGCCGCGGTAGAGTCTAGATGATGTTATATATTTCAGAAATAATTATACACGATGTTAAACAAATTAATGTCAGTTCGAGGTACCCAATCTCAGAATACTCCAGCGAGAGAAAGCCATGATGGTATGAAGACTATATCTCTGCAAAACTTTTCTCATGGAAAAAAACAATTGAAAGTCGTTTTTTTTTCCGAGGACATTATTTTGTTCAACATCTTAGGTAGTCAGTCATGTTTTTAACACCTATACTGTACACGAATAATTTTTAGGAAATTTAGTCTTACACATTCAAAATACGTGCTCAATGACCACTGACTTCACCATTACGCAATATACGTTGGTGCGTCTAATTCTAGCACAATTTCATCTGTTTTCAACAATACTGACAATTGTATAACCAGTACGTCACAGGGAAATAGATATACTTTTGTCAGTTTCATTGAAATATCTTTATGGGAGTTTTACACAAAATTACAATTCTATCTCTTTTGAATTAACTACGACAGCTAGACAGTATTTTTATGAAAAATTAAATAGGTAAAGTTGTCATGATTCTTACATTCAAAACGTTATCATTGAAGAGTTGAAAAATCACTATGGAATGCGAGTTTTAAATTAGTCATATTTTGAGCGAATGTAATTAGAGAATCTGGATAAATATATATAAGTAGTTAGAATTTGTCTCGCTTAATGGTTATACAGAAATGTTATGTATGTGGACTAAAGAATATAGACTAAAGATCTAAATTATTATATTTGAATTAAAATGAAATAGGGTAAGGTGATGGCACCAACGATAGAAATTTTAAGGGAAGTGTGTCTTTAAATTTGAAATAACTTTTTTGTTATTAAACATAATATATCCATAGTCGTTAGTTTATTTGACATATATAATCCTCAAGAAAGATTGTGCTATAGTATGTTTCATAAAAAAGCTATTATATCGAGTTCTTAGGTTTCCGCGATTGTTACACATAGGAAATGAAATTGTTTTTCCAGCTTTAAATCGCGTAAATTTGTTTTTTCAAACAAAACAACGTGTCAGTCCCTTTATAGTTCCTATGGGCACGAGTCAACCGTGACCATGGGACCTGTAAAAGGCCCGAAGTGTTGGTTTGTTTGGAAAAACAAATATACGCGATTTAAATTCGGAAAAATAGTTTTATTTCCTAAAAGCTATTATAATTATTATTCAAAAAAATCGACATTAAAATTTCTCTAAATCACTAGTAATTAACACCAAAAATCCACTAAAAAACTAACCAGTACGTAGAGTACTGGTTAGTTAATTAATGGATTTTCAATCACCAATAGTGAAAAACCAGTAATTGACCTTACTAATAAAAAACATGTTACTATGATAGAAAATTTTGTCCTAAATCTTATTAGAATTTAATTTAAAAAAGGTGTCGAACACTGGTGTTTGTAGTAAACTGGCGCCACCACCCTAGCACATTTTAGTTACACCTGTGGAGCCATACGTAGTTAAAATTCTTACAATTAAAAAAGGTAGAATCACTGTGCATTGAACTATTGTTATTTAAACAGTACATCGAAATAATTGCATACTTTCGAATAACCTTGCATTTTCATTGAATGTAAAAAATAATAACAAAATACCTTACAAGCTATTATCACTAGAAACATAACAAAACTTTTTTTTTCGTATAAAGATCTAAAGTAATTTTATTGGATTTTAAAATAATTCTTCTTCTTATTTATGTATTTTATTTACATAATGATTTTGAAGGTGGGTTGATACGATGTCTTTTAATGATATATTTTTTATTAATTTTTTAATTATTTAAATATGTCCGCAGCTGTCTAAAAACAACCTATTTATATACAAATTAAATAGGTTGTTTTTAGACAAAAAGTTATATACAAAAAAATAATAATACAGATCTATCAGTTTGTAACATACAAAATTAAATTATAAATGTCACATTATCATGTTGTTTACACGTCTTGACACATGGTTTCATTTATAAGTAAGATTTTAACTTAAAAAAACTTTTAGTTCAATTCACAAAGCTTTGTGAATGAGTATAAGAAGTATCATTAAACAGAGTGAATAGAAAAAAAAATGTATTTCGCTTTTAAATGAAACCATGCCTAAGAATTATAATGATAAAATGTCACGAGTACAAGTCACTGGCAGGTTATACATAATTTTTATAAACAATCATTGTCATGTAATAAAAATAACACTATAGTAAGATTATTTACTCGCTGCAGACTCGACCATAAATTATCGGAACGGGACAACGATATTGCGATCCCTCTCCCACTTACCAGTAGGGTACGAGCAGGTACTGGCCTTTTGTTTAAGCGTAAGGTAGTGCATTACTGTGGCCTTAGCATGGCAGTAGTTTTACCATTCGAATTTGACAGGTAAATGTGGATATAATAGCTTTATCGCGGCGGCATGATACGGAACCTGCTGTCGATAAATGCTATCGATATAGATGATGTTCAATTTTGTTGTTGTGGTGAAAGTAGGAATGGAAATAAAAAATAATTTATGTAGTACACTATCATCGAGTATATAACCAGAAATAGAGACGAAATGTCATTTAATTTGTTTGAAAACTATTCTGCCATATCATTACTGCGATAACTGCGCTCCGATTGGCTAGCGCGAGTTCGAAACAATTGACGGGTGTCGTCAATGGGCGTCAACGGTTTCAGTTCAAATCGATTAGTTAACTTGAGCTTTGCTATAATGGACGAAAATTGCAAAATTACATATTTCATATTTAATTACCGATGAAGTGTGATTCGGTTTCTTTTGTAACTAGATGTTTTGCTGTTTTTCCCACACCACCGAATAGAACAGCACGGCATTGTGAGAGATATTATCTTTATTACAATAAATACTGAATATTTTTTGGAATATACGGAGACGTACACACAGGTCAGTAGTTGGTCTGTCTATATTGCAGTGCAAATGGGAGTTGATATTTATAAGAGCTGTATCGCTAATGTGTTGCCAGGAATATATGGCCCTTATTTCGTCTCTATTTCTGGTTATATACTCGATGTACACTATGGATAAAAACGTACTTGAGCCGTAATAATAGGTCCGACTTGTGAAATAGGATTTTTTTAAAACCATCCGTTGTGACAGGGTCAACGTTCACACAATGAATGGTATTAAAATAAAAATAAAAATGTTGCGACATTTAAACAATACAAAGTAATAAATTATTCTCGTTTAATAATAACGCGCGCGCACTCATAGCCCCGCATTAGGGAAACCCTGTACCGCGAGTGCCATGGACACACACATAGACAACTATAGATTATACCCAAACTCACGAGAGAAATAAATGTAGGCCGTACAAATATTTCTCCCGGCCCGGGAATTGAACCCGGGACATCTGCATGGCAGTCAAGTATAGTAACCGTTCGGCCACTGAGGCAGTTGTTTTTATCGATAACGGACATACGCACTCATCAAGTGCGTATGTCACTAAGTACGTGAGAAATCGCAATGTCGCTGTCTCACTCCGATGATTTATGTTATGACAGAGTCTGCATCGAGTAAATAATCTTACTATAGATCTTATAGAGGGACTGAATAAGGTCTATTGTTGTCTAAAACGTATTCTACTGTATTTATTGTTCTGTGGTCTAAAAATCCAATGGTAACAACCACTGGATTTTTTGTTACTTAAACATCTTTAATTAACGTTTTTATCTCTGTTATCGATAAAGCGGGACATCTCTCTACTATTCTATATTACAGACTTCTACCTTTAAACCTGTTCAAATTACATGACAATAATCTTGAAACATCTATGACAGCTGTTAACAAATCTGTGTTCAAAAATAGCTTTTATGATTAATTGTGAGAAATGCCGCAGATATTTGCGCAAACGTTTTACATTGAGAGGCTTAAGTAGCCAATTATGAACAGCAGTAGTGTGATAATAAGCGAAAACACATTCGATATAGGTTAGGATATTTATATTTTCTGTCTCCCTCTCTTCTTTCTCTGTTTTCTCTCAATATCATCAGAGAAAATAACTGAAAGAATGAAAATAGTGAAAAGACAATTAAGTCCTAAACACCATTTACAAACTAACGAAGTTAAACTCTGCTCAAAAACCAATGATATACAGAAATCATTTTCGCTTAAAATGGAGCTTCAGACTTTTTACCTTTCCACTGACGATATCTTCCCGTGGTTGTTCCAGAAAATTAACCTAAGACTAGGCTTGACTATCAAAGAGTCTTGCCACAGCTAGAAAAACGAGATTATTACAGGCTATGTCAAGCAAAGAACATTCACCATAGAACTAATTTTACGTACTTACAACAAAAACATTGATTTGAAAAATGAAGAACATTTGAGGGATTTTCTGTTTTGACTATTTCCAAAGAGGAGAAGAGGAGAGTTGCCTTTTTCTCACCATTTTTGCGGCTAATGGACCTTCACGAGTCACGAAGTAGCAAAAACTGCCTTTTAAAAGCTACAAAACTATCTGTTATAGAGAAAAAATATAAATATGCTAAGCTAGACAATCGACAACACACATTGGTCCGTGCCACACACATATATAAAATATACACCTAGTGTCCGTTCGTACATAACCTAATGTTAGTGCTATATAATTAATATATCATCTTATGTATTTTAAGGATTTTGCCGAGGCGCTGTTTCGCCGTCTTCATACCTTTTTTCAGTCTTGAATCTGTGGATAAATATGTGAGGTATAATCATTGTGACAACATAAAATATATTTGTTAATAAACAAAAGTATAATTTTTTTTTATATTTAGCAATTGTTTTTTTTAAGTATCCCTGGGTTTCAATTTCAACATCACAGTTTCAAAGTAAAAGTTACACGGTTAGCAACTTCGTCTTACTTTCAGGCCGGTTCGCATTCTGTTGAACAATTGAACCGTAACAGAGTGGGGGAAAACTGAGCATGGCCGTAGTATAAATTCTACTTTACTTATTGAAAATAATTCTGTGGCTCTAGTGAAAAGGGGTACACGTCAAAAAACCCAACTTTATAAGGAGACGCGAAAAGCTTAATATGATATTAAGTGTTAAGTGTTCGTCGCGTTTCTTTCTAAAGTTGGGTTTTTTATTTGTACCCTTTTTCACTAGAGCCACAGAATTTATCTAAAACATTGTTTTCAATATAAGTAGTAGCCGTGCACAGAACAGTTTATGTGCGCCATCATGATTTTAAAGCCGTGGTAGCCTAATAGTTTGACCTGCCGCCTCTCAAGCAGAGGCCGTGAGTTCGAATCCAATCTCGCACCAACTCGAGAAGTTCCGGGAAACTTCTGCGAAATTTAATTTCGCGAAATTTCGGTGAAGGAAAACATCGTGGTGAAACTTTCACGTCGAAGATTCAGAACCCTGAGAAAGCGTGTGAAGTCCCCAACCCGCATTGGGACAGCGAGGCAGACTATGGTCTAAACCCTCACCTGAGAGGAGACCCGAGCTCAGCGTTGGGAGGTACAGGTGGGTTGATGACGATTACAATTTTCATAATATGCTGAACGTATTCAAAAATATGTTAAAATCAAAACATGCACACGTCATCCCTTAGCGCTCGGTCCGGCAAACTAATCATGTTTGCAGGATGCGGCCAGCGCCTCCCGACTCCCCTCGACTACCCCGCTATTGCTTTGAGTGAGTACCTTCGTTGACACAACTGTGTGGTTTATAAAACTGTGTTGGAATGTCCTAATTTCCGTGCATCATTCATGTATCGGTCTGTTGTACAGTAGTAGGAGAAAAACACCAACTGCCTTGTGTGTACTGTTTAATTTTGGATTAGTAAAGTTAAGAGAGGTGTTTTACGTTAATAAGGGCCATAATTTGAATAGATAAACTTACTCTTGTTATTTGGCGTGTTGTGTACAGGTGGCGGCGGCCGCCTGCTCTTTGTAGCTAGTACTGCTCGCTTTGCATTCTGTAAAGCATTGCAAGTGTTACCATAATATTTCATGAATTTTTTTTCTTTATTCTTTTCTAACGATACTTTGGAAAAAGTGCAGAGATGGGAAACATTGCATTATTAGTAGTGGTTATGTACTGAAAGTTCACTTTTTGCAGTGAATTGCTGTCGCTTTAAAATATATTTACCTTTTAAGCCCTGGATTTATTACACAGGGTTATTTGTAAAATAGTAACAGCCTCGCATTACCATTTTATTAAGATCGTAAACAATAACTGTCGGGTGCATGACTTTTCACAAAACAATGCATTTACTAAAAATGAACTTTTAAGCTTTCGTCGTACCTACTGACACTTTTTAGATCTCTAGCCGGTAATAAGTTAGGAAGTGCAGTCGTACACTTAGCACTATTTAGAGTATATTGAAATATTTTGAAAGTAACAGCGATTGTGAAGAGGGGAACAAAAGTTGTCGCAATAATAATGCTGGACCTGGTCGTGGTCCAGCTGCTGCGGCTTGGCGGCGTGGGCGTGCGGGTGCGGGTGCGGGCGCGGCTGCGGCTTGGCGGCGGCGTGCGTCAGCGCCTTGCGCACGCTCTCCTTGCGCGAGCCCTTGCGCGCCGGCGCGCGCAGGCGCGGCACCAGCCGGCCCAGGCGCGCGCGCGGCGACCACGACTCGTCCCTGCAAGGGGCGGCTTTCTGTGACTCCGAGAGGGTTGCGGTGCCACACGGCACTTGAAATCGCAAAGCCCGAGAGGCCCGAGACTCGCAGCGGGTGGCAGAACTCCCCCGCTACTAAAAACTGCTATGTGCAATAAAATTTAAATACCATGTACGAAACAGATTTCCTCGATTTTTACCAGTTAAAATCGAACAAATATGTGTTTGCATCTACGCCTGATTAGTAAGTTCAATAGCGTCGATCGTCAAAATATTACGTTGTCGATCTTATTGTTGCTTACACATGTACTGGATTTTCTCTAATCACACGTGTCGATCGTCAAACAATCGAGCAAATCTATCGGCACCTTTACTATTTCTGTTGAACATAAACTACATTGTAATCAAGTTTATTGAATGTCAATGATTCACCACCACGATACTCGTATTTTTTTTAAGAAATTACTCCATTCGAACCAACGTCTTCTGAATATATTAAATAATAAATGACATTGTCACAAATGTACTTACTGGCAAAAATGTTAATTCAGTTAATTTTCCGTCTTTTTTTTTTTAACTAAATAAGTTAAACTTCGAAGTTATTGTTATTATTTCCGTTTCCTATACAATTGTCCTCACGGAAGTATTGCACAAGTGGAATTACGTCAAAAAATGTTTATTGCTCCATTCGATACCAAAAAATATAACCCACATCCTCTCCAATTCTCGACAATATTAGTCGATAAAGGTACAAGGGGTGCGAATATAATGAATTCATGTCACATGACAATGTTGTCGCGATTTAGTATAAGTTTTGTAATAGAATAGAATAGAATAGAATCGTTTATTTCATGTTATCAATGTCACAATATTACAATTGGAAATACAATGTCAAGGGATAACTATGATCGTCAGTAATAAAATTATAATAATAATAATGAATATAAAATAAAGTAGTATAACTACTGCTTGTCGAATAAAATAAAACTAAAATTGTTTCAAAAGAAATTCATCGACACTGTACAATTCAATATCCAATAAAAGGATTTTTAGTCGGGTACAAAACTTTTCATCGTTTCTAACACTTTTCAGGTCTGTGGGTAGATGTTCATTGCAAGTTCGGTACGGTGGGCAACAGATTTTAGTGTTCCCGCGTTTCGTAGCGCTCGGCCTCCTCCCGTACGTCGCTCATAAGTAGCCAAGTTTTGACGCGCATAAACTATTATATCATAAATATATTGTGAGTACATGGTCATTATATTGTATTTCTTAAAAAGGTTTCTGCAGGTCTGACCCTTTTTTTTTTTTATTTATTATTTTTTTATTATTAATATCAAGCATTAATAAATTTAGTCTGTTATGATACCTAAGAGTAGGGAACTAACAAGGCAGTACAGGCATCTCAAATGAAGGTAGAGAGTTAGAGATATCAGGCATCTGCTGGAAGTGCACTGGTTGGTCGGCACTACAGTTTGTAAGTTTGCACAATGTTTATTACTAACGTAGATACAGTATTTGTTGACTAGACAGCCTGAAGATAGAATATCACGAATCAGTAACAGAATTAAAATGAGACCGCCACTTGCACTGAAGGTACAAGGGGGCATGTAGCGGTGGCAGAGGAAGGGCTGTAGGGGTGTGTGTGGAGGCCCATCATAGGGATCAGAGGATCCCACTAGTTCAGATCCGGAGGATCGATATGAGGTCAAGGACCTGTTAGGACAATTATAGTAGTCCTATGAAGTAGAATGGAGTTAGAAGAAGTGTACATGAAGAAAAGATACTCTATTTAAAGGTTGTTGCGATAGAAAGAATGTCGCATATGTAATTTACATTATGATTGAACCTTAGGCGTGGCAACAAATGTAGTTTGTCTATGTATATATTATCTTCTAAGTGTATGAAAATGAACACTGATAAAACTCACTTATCGCTCTTCGATCGACTATCGACCCTGTTCCGTGAATTCCGCCGCCGCCTCGTCGCCGTCCAATCCTCATCTTCGTCCGAGCTCATTTCTAGCGATGGATACACTAAAAACAAACAATTAGATAATGTTTCAAACTCAAAACTTCACAGTTCTACAAAGTGCAATTTTTTCGTAACAAATAGATTATAAGTATCTCCTGTGGACGCAGTTTGTGGCGATGCTGACTTCCTTCAACGTCATTCCACTATTTTATTATTCTCTGTTCTGGACTCTAGGCTTTGAATTCCCTTTTCTTTCACTATTTTTACATTTATTCCATACGTCGTCACTGCCATCAAAAATTTGAAACGAGAGGACGTGCCCATAAATCACTAACAATATTCTGCAAAGTCAAAGAATATTTTTTTCCGTGGGTAAAATAAATTTACACTTGAAAATGTCACTTTTAAGCTACTGCTCATTCACTGTGCTCACTTCCCTGCGAAGAATGAGGAAGAAAACTCTAGGGATTGCTCTTTTCAAATAAACTTAAACGCTATGGAATACACTTTGAATCAAATTTGTGTGGAATCTAAAGTCATGTCGTCTTTCCATACATCTTTACATAGCACGTAGTCTTCAATTTTGTAATACATAAGGCGCACTATAAGTTTCCGGAACTGCCCACTTGCATAAACAATATTTAAAAAGTAATTACAACTTTGAAAATGGAACTCTTTGGCCGTAGAATACAGTGTTTCATCTGACTGTCACTTGTTTTTACATTGTAGCGTCATTTTAGAAATTGGTTGTCTACGTCACCATGGATTTAACTCGTGCAAATTTGTGTAGTATGATTTCCTACGACTTTAAGCGTACATTAACAGCTAAGCGGAAATTCGCTCGCCTTCAAACTACTTTTGGCAATGAAGCATCATGCTAGACGACTATTTATGATGCTCTTTGACTGATACTCAAAAAACGGATTGCGTCACTTGGTGCAATGCCATGCTTACCAGATTCAATGATGGGGCGTCAAATTTGGTGTGTGACATAGTAACAGGTGACGAAACATGGATTTATAGTTACGATCCCAAAACAAAGCAGCAATCGAGTGTATGGGTCTTTCGAGATGAGCCGAAACTAACCAAAGTGGCGCGCGTGTAAAGTGCCTCTAAGCGGATGATTGCTTCTTTTTTAATAAAACTGGACACGTGGGTACTGTTGCTGTGGAGAATTGTTGTACCGTGAATAGTGATTGGTACACGACCATTTATTTGCCGGAAGTGATTGACAAACTCCGGATAAATAATCGTAAACGCTGTATCATCTTGCACCACGATAATGCCAGTTCTCACACGGCCAGATAGACAAATGAATTTTTGAAAGTGAACAACTTTGGCCTTATGAGCCATCCCGCATACAGTCCCGACCTGGCATCTTGTGACTTTTATTTATTTCCAAAAATTAAGAACCAGTTACGCGGTCAACGATTTTCATCACCTGAAGAGGCTGTCGAAGAATATGAAAAAAAATATGTTTCAGAGATTGTCCCGGAGGAGTGGCATAAATGTTTTCAAAATTGGTTCATTCGTATGAAAAAGTGTATTAACGCTAACGGAGAATTTTGAGAAACAATAATATATATAATATAAATAATATATATAGCATTTTTTTCTTATTCATTCCAGAAACTTATAGTGCGCCTCACGTATGACTTTTGAATTAAAATATTATTTATTGTTAAACTTCTCCTTATCGTTAAACTAAACTTCACACTGATGACTGTTAAAAGTACATAGTTATTGTATTAGAAGACTACACCAGTTTCTTGATCTAGAACAATCATACACCAGATAAAGTATCACAGCAACGAAATTCAAACCCAAACCAATTTATACGGGGTGGAAATTAGAGACGGGTCAGCTATAGGAAAACGGTTCTGACTGTCCACGAATTTTGAAGATATTTCAATTGGCATCCACAAATTTTCAAAAATGGCAGTCAGCAAAATAAAAGGCAAATTTCAAAAATCTATAGGACCTGACCTGGGACCAACAGAGTTACTAAGGGTCGTATTCCAGAACTCTACTCAATACTCAAGTCAGGACTTGAGTATTGCAGTGAGCACTGAAAATCATACTCAAGTCCTTGCCATTAGGGTCGTATTTCCAGTGCTTGAAATCATACTCAAGTCTGCTCAAATCCTGACTTGAGCATTGAGTAGAGTTCTAAAATACGACCCTAAAAATGTTAGTAATCGTAAAATTTTACCATACATTTAGTAGGCTTATCTAATAATAATAACAGAAAAGGAAACTAAGAAATTGACACCGCGTTATGTATTGCAAAATAAGACCAAACTCAAAAAGGGAACGCAGCAGTTGTTGATCCGTTTCAAATTTCCACCCAGTGTAAGTTCGTTTCCCGAATCGGTCCACGTCTCCCCATCGAGGTTAGTGACTCACCGTATTCCTCGTCCCGATGCACCTCCTTGATGACGTCCTCCTCGTCCGAGAGCTCTTCGCCGCCGTCGGGCGCGGGCGCCGCCGAGGCCTTGCGCGCGCGCTTGCTGCTGCTCGCCGTGCTGCTGCTGCGCACCACAACACGGCGTTTTATTTCGCGTTTCGGGTTCGCAAACAATTGCACCGTTCATCTAACACCCGATATTCATTTAGTGGATACACTTTTCTAAATCAAGGGTTAACTTATTAACCCCATAAGTAATTCCCCCTCGCCGGCGATAGACCTCAAAGGTCTTTCTTTACGTAACACGTCTTGTGTACGATATTAAATGCATATCGGCTGAGTTGTTAGTAATAGTATAATAACAGTGATCGGAATAGGTACAGTATATTTACCGAAAGTGGAGATACCTTGTGACTACATTTTTGATCCCGGATTGTTTTGGAATTCGGGAAATCACTTAAATACAAAAATTAACGTTGTTTGGGATAGTTAGGTAGATTATATTTATCTAAATTTTACAAAGACGTGTTGCAACCACCAACTTTTCGGAGTATTTAGGAAAATTCCGACAAATAGAAAATTATTATTTAATAAAATGTAATTGCAAGTATTAAGATATGTATTTCAAACATACCGTGGATTTATGGACAATCCTCCGGGATTCTAAAGCTACCGGTTCGACTCTTCGTGTAGTTCTAGGTTAAGTAAACATGTTAGCTTTCTAGTGATGAAATCAATCGAGTCAGAACCACGCGTTGCACTGTGAACGCACCTGTCCGGTCGCTTGGCGGGCGAGAGCTGCGGCAGGCCGAAGGCGCGCTGCGGCGCCGCGAAGCGCGACTCGCCGATGCTCAGCATGCCCGCCACCGCCGCGTCCTCGCTGCAAGCCACCACCTCTTTTTAGATAGATCTCAAATTTCTTCGATCTGACCGGACTGGAACCGGCGTCGGTTTGCCTAACCGGGGCTACCGATTACTTCTCGCAGGCCTTTGAAGTTATTTTTCATCACATTTGCTCGTAAATGGTATTATTGCATGGCGGCTAACTTGATTATAATGCCCCAAATGAAACCCTCGGACCTTTTTTCTTCACATTCCAGTCATGATCGGAGAGGAGTATTTCTTTTTTTTAATTTGTAGCACGACATACTTCCTTACATAGATGAAGCTCAAGTTCAAGCAAGGTTACTTAAGTTCAAATTATAATGTTACCTAAACAGAAATTTAATTGCAATTATTATTAAGAATTTCTTTTATTTGATTTTAATTATTTTCTGTATACAAAAACAGCAAATCTTTTTTACAGTCCATCGTGGCTGAATGTTCGCTGTATGCCGTCTTCGCTTTATGTCATTTTAGTTCGAATTATATTAACTATGGAAGAACAGCTAACTGGCCAGCCATCTGTTGACAAAAAAAATCTCGCCACTTGCAAAATCCATAACTGTTGTGTTGCGAACCATAATCATTCATAAACACTGTATTTATTTTCTCGCAAACGTGATGAAAAACATTGTACGTATCACGTACGGTCAAAAAAAACAAAACTCGAATTATTAAAGCCCTCAGCCTTCGGCTTCGGGCTTCTAATATGTCCTCGTTAGTATCTTCTTATTCCGTCCTTAATATACAATGTACTACTATAGGATACATGCACGGGACCGGGACGTAAATGGTAATATGAGGCCTGGAAGTCCCGGGAGCGAGGGGCACTCACGTCTCGCTGACGGGCGGCTCCTCCTCGGCCAGCACGCTGGCCTGGATGAGCGACTCGATGCCGTTGACGGGCGCGGGCCGCGCCGGCGCCGCGCGGAACCCGCCCGCGCCGCCGCTCGGCGCTGCCGACAAGCGATCCCCTTTTACACGACAGCTCGATTCTCGTTTGCGCTTGTGCAGCGCCAGGTTTTATACCTTTCCCGTATTTTCTTTTAATAATATCAAGTGAAGGGACGAACAAGCCGTGGGCCTGATGGTAAGCTACACGCCGGCACACAACAGTTGCAGTGCCACTCACGAGTTTTAAATCGCAAAGATCCGAGGGACACTGCCACTGCGCCGGTCACCCTGAGTCATAAGTTGACAAGTACCATGTGCCAGTAATTTCATCAGCACCCTTACTCTTCAAAACCGGAACGCAGTAATGCTGATATACTGCTTGGCGGCAGAAATAGGTAAGATGGCAGTACTGCCCTGGACGAACTCTTTCAAAAAGAGCTCTACTGCTGCTTGTGTTAGCAACGTGGTACAAAATATAATACGGAAAGCGTTTATCGACCCTACCAAGCGCAGCATATAATAAATAATAATATTTCTTTAATTCATTCATACACATACAGTAAAACCAAAAACAGTACCTTATATAAAACACTCGCATCTATAGTTGTACGTGTTACTTACATAAAATGTTTGAAACTCCCAAATTCCGAGCTAGCCTTAAAAGTGACGAATGCCCCGACCCGCATTGGCTCAGCATTATGAACTAAGACCTTAGACAAGACCCTCTCTTTAGACAAGACCCGTGCCCTTGAAATTCACGAAAATTGTATCACAATCGGATGAACAAAAATCGAACGCATACGGGACAAACACACGTACATTAAAGTTTATATACATAAATAAAAGAACCCTGATTTCGCAACCGAGACCTAACGAAAGATGCAAACGCGAGTTTTGTCTACATATAGCAGTATAAAAAGCGTTGAACTCACCGACGGCGTGCTTGAAGGCCTGCTTGTGCTTGGCGGGCGGCTTGCGGCGCTTGGGCGCGGGCGTGTCGTCGATGTACAGGTCGCCGTCCTCGTAGTCGTACGTCGTGGACATGCGCCGGCGCACGGGCCGCTCCGACCGCCGCACCGGCAGCGCCAGCGGCGCCGACGGCTTCTGCTCCTCGATCACCTGCGGACGCACGGAATTCCAACACATCTTCATTTCATAGGTAACACAGCTATTCTCTTGTAAGGCAGATTCATCTAAGAAGAATGAGTATTGCACGCGTTAATTATCATAATGGCAGTTGACAATTCGCTTCTCTAGCGATCGGCCACAGATAAGCACTCAAGACACAATCATACCGTACAAAGTGGCGATCATGTACGAAAATGGCGGTCTGAGCTCAAGTAAGCGTCATTAGGCCTACTGTTGGCACGCGTGCGACGCTAAATTACCACTTCTACAGTATTTATTGTTCTGGGGTTTAAGTAATTCTAAATTACACGATGCACTCACGTAGTTGGTAGACCCGTACTGCTGCGCTATGGCAGCGTCGTAAGAGGGCAACTGGTTGTGATGATAAGCGCCGTCGACTGCCACGTTGCTGTATCCCGTTGACTGTACAAAAACACAGTGTAAGTACTCACCGATGTACATGTCGCCTTTGAGTAGTACGCAATACGGTACATTATATCACACCGTCAATAATAAAATTACGTAATTTGAATGAAATATTTTTTCAGGAAACGAAAATAATATTACTAAATAGTCTTTCAGCGAGCTCGGTCCTAGTCCTCACGCGTATTGTCACGTATATTTCGACGTTCGCGTATCACGACGTTCTCCTTCACCGGCAGCGAGACGTTGGCCCTAAACCGCCAAGTGCAGACCTGCTGGTGCGCGGGCGTGAGCGGCGTGTGCGGCGCCAGGGGCGCGTGCGGCGTCTGCGGCGTCTGCGGCGTCTGCGGCGTCTGCGGCGCGTGCGGCGGCTGCAGCTCGTAGCGCGGGTAGGTGTCGAAGCCGTCGCCGCCGGGGTAGCTGTAGTCGGGCTGGTAGCCCGCCGGCGCCTTGGCCGGCTCCGCGTACTGGTACTCCTGCTGGATGTCCTCGGCGGAGTACATGCCTGCCGGAGCGCATTCAGTAATAAATGTCAGACATAACATACGTTGCTCTGATCCCCGAGTAACTAGACCGCTTGTTATGGAAATCGGAAGCAACGACGACGCCACCAACACCCAAACCAGAGAATATAGAAAAGTTAGTTTTTCTCCATTTTCGAGGATCGAACCCGGGACCTCAGAGATGGCGACACAGTAAGAACCGGTGTGCAAGCCACTCGACCACGAAGTCCATCGTGCATTGCGACAACTCTATAGAGTATTCAAGACATATTTCAAATCGCATTGTAAACCGTACTGACACGAGTTAGGGTCGAAATACAAAACTGCAACGCATCTACGAGGAACCTACGAGCTCGCACGACGCATCGCACGAATTTGCGAATTGGTCCACATCGCGCATTCCAGCGATGTTAATGTTCTTTGTGTTTTGTTTCCTATATTTTCTATCGATACAACAGCGCAGTACTCTTTTTAGGATCCATATCAAGTTGAATTGGAACAAGCATCTGGACAACAAAATTAAAAAAGCCACTATCACCTTCTGGCAGTGCCATAGAATGGTAGGTAAACAATGGGGACTCTCACCCAAAATAACACTATGGCTCTACACAGCGGTGATAAGACTTATGATCAGTTACGGCGCGATAGTATGGTGGCCACGAACCAAGCTGACGACCGCAACCGACAAGCTGGAAAAATTCCAAAGACTCGCTTGCATGGCAACGACCGGCTGCATGAGGACAACTCCGACTGCGGCCCTCGAAGCGATGCTGGACTTGCGACCCCTCCCAATGTTCATTAGACAGGAAGCGGCGTCAACAGCAGTGCGTCTAAACAGAGCCGGCCTTTGGAAACACATGAGGACCCCACATACAGAAATCCTTTATAAGACAGTCAATGAGGAACCGCTACTGGAGGCGGCTGTGGATAGGATCCCAAAACAATACATCTTCGACAAAAAATACAAGATACAATTGTTTGAAGATCCAAATGAAGGACTGAACCCCAGAGAGGTCCGCGTCTTCACCGATGGATCTAAAACAAATTCAGGAACAGGTACTGGGGTATTCTCAGAAGACCTCAATATCAGGATATCAACACCGCTTGGTGACCACAACACAGTATTCCAGGCTGAATGCATGGGCATCAAGTTGGCGGCAGAAGCAATCATAGCGAGAAGAGTAAAGAACCACTCCATTCGAATACTCTCTGACAGTATGTCAGTACTTCAAGCACTGAACAGCTATGACATAAACTCAGGGCTCATTTATGAATGCCATCAAGCACTCATGGAGGTATGTATACAAAACCACTTAACTCTACAGTGGATTAAAGGACACAGCGGCTCACGGGGCAATGACGCAGCAGATGAACTAGCCAGAAAAGGGTCGGAGACGGGCGCAGCAGGACCAGAACCCATAGTGTCCCTCCCCTACCAATGGTCCAGAACAACTATACACAAAGGTACAAAAACTTCACATAATAATACATGGACCACCCTTACGGTTTGTAGACAGGCGAGGGAAGCACTCCCAACGCTCAATGCCAGTCTATGACGTATATTAATTAAACTCAACAGGCAGGAGCTTCGCACTCTAACTGCCGCCCTAACAGGTCATGGTCCATACAATAAACACCTTTTCAATTTAGGTATCACAGACAGCCCTCTATGCAGAGCGTGCATGGAGGGGGAGGAAACGGCTGCGCACATCCTACTACAGTGCTCCGGCGTGGCCAACTACAGGGCAAAGTACCTTGGAGTGCCAAGGTCGCTCCCCGAAGTCTTCAGCAAACCGAGGAGGCTGCTGAGATTCCTGGAGGAGCTTGGGTGGCACGAGTAGGACCCTGCACCCACCTCACGCAAAATAGGCGCCTTGTCGTCGAGTTGCGGACACCAGCCCGTTACACCATGTACCAAGTACCAAGTACGGTCAGGCAACAGACGCTGGTTCCAGTCCAGTCAGATCGAAGGTTTTTTGCATTAGTTAGTCACAAATTGAAACGTTTGAGTAGGTTTAAATAAATCTAATGTAATAAGTACCTTTATAAAATGTCAACCAATAATAATAACTCACCAGGACCATAGTTGAGTTCCTGCCCCTCCATTCTAACGTTGGTGTTCAAATTCTCATTGGTGAATAATATCTGCTCTTCGTGGTAATCCCCAATGTCCTTCTTTGAGATCGTCCACTGGTGGATAGGCTTCAACGTGGTTGGCTGGGGTGGACGAATCAGGTGCGCTTTTAAGATGGAGTCGGCGGGGTACGGGGGCGGTTCTTCGCGGGATGAGGAGGGGGAATTGCTGGAAAAGATATATAAAATTAATGATCTATCATTCTATCTATCATCTATCATCTCCGGCAAAGATCGCCACAACGACCTGTTTACGCTGCTCGCGTCCAGCTCTCATCAATTTGTCATAATCTCGCAGTGCACTCACGTTGCACAGCGCAAGTCATCTGATGTGCCATTTATTAAAGAATTGAAGCGTTCGCTCGGAGATTAAAAAGTGACGTCCAATAGTAGCGATTGTCGGGTTTGTGGTTGTTTGAACAAAGGTGCTTCGAATTCAGAATTGTTAAGCATTTCTATTTCATAATCATACTACCATAATCGAGATACTATAAGTCCATTTCACATAGAAGGAGTCTTGTGACATTTCCAATTTTTGCGTTGCACGCATACCATTTATAACTCAACCAGGTTACAAAAAAGAAAGTAAATTTTTTCATATTGTACTAAAAACGAATAATATTTGTTGCAGTTGTAATTTCAAATAAAAATTAAAGAGCAAATTAAGTAGAAAGAAAATGAAATGATTAAGATAAAAATAAATTACCCGGATTACTTGATGCGTAAAACGGAATGTTTTATCCATAGAGATTTACACCATAAAATCGAAACATCGAATCGACTATTTTGTATCTCACGTTAATGCAAGCACATACAAGTTTTCTTTTGTTTTGAGCATTTCGTGATGTTCTGGAGTGATTGTTCAAATGTCGTTTCGTTGCAGTTGATGTTGTTGTTGTTGATTTTTTTTATTTGTTGTATAGTTTTCTTGTTGAGTTAATAACATAATAATTGAATCCTTTCTATTTTGTTTCTTATTTCTTCTTCTTATTTCTGTAAATCGATTCTCTCTTCTTTACAAATTATCTCGATAAGATATTTAAAGATTTGACGTCACTACATCTCTAGAAACTTCAAATTTAAAACGTCACCAGAATCATGCTATGTGAATTGAACTATAATCCAGGGACTGTTATAAAAAGATCAAAACGTAAGTACTGCATTTAACAAAGGTCATAACCTGTGTAGGCACACGTAAAATATGAATATGACAACCCACGCTCCGAGTGACGTGCAGAACAGGCGGTAGTTGTCCTCTTTGTCTCTATACTATGTATGTTTACGAGCGGCAGTGCGTTGTGAATGCTTGAGATTATGCAAAATGATGGATGCTAGCGAGGGTATCGAGTGTATTATTATAATGCCTTTTTTCCTTTTTTTTTGTCTTATTGTTATTGATCAAAGTGATCATCTAATAGATCATCTAACCAATATCTAGGATTTTGTAATAACTCTATGAGCTTTACCGAACAAAACTGGGAAATGCTAAAGTCACCTTAAACGGCAGAACCTTAAAACGCTCTCCTGTAAACTTGGCAATTTCGACACGATACTTTACGTCGAAATATGCATGTTTTTTTTAACAATATATATATAATATATTTAGACTGCTTCCGTGGTCGAACGGTTACCATGCCGGACACACGCAGAGGTCCCAGGTTCGATTCCCGGGCCGGGAGAAATATTTGTATGGCCTACATTTATATCTCTCGTGACTTTAATTTGTGATTGTCTAAGTGTGTGCCCACGGCACCCGCGACACAGGGTTTCCCTAGTGCGGGTCTATGTTGAGTGTGTGCATTATTAAAAAAATATATATATCACGTGGACGTGCAATGAATTTAATAAGTCAATTAGTAATTTAAGGACGGTGATAGTTAGTTGGGTCATTTTTAATGATAATGTGACGTACATTACTAACATTAATAACACACTCATAGCCCCGCACTTGGAAACCCTGTATCGCGGGTGCCATGAATATACACAAAGACAACCACACAACCGCTTTTTAGTAGCCTTACATATCTCTGCCGCCAAGCAGTAATGTCAGCATTACTGCGTTCCGGTTTTGAAGGGTAAGGGTGCTGGCGAAACTACAGGCGCATGGGACTTGTCAACTTATGTCTGAGGGTGACGGGCGCAGTGGCAATGCCCCTCAGATCTTTGCGATTTAAAGCTCTGAGTGGCACTGCAACTGTTATGGACAGGCGTGTCGTCCCGTCACTTGGTATTATAAAACAATACATAAAAACAAAGTACTCCCAAACTCACGATGGAAACAAATGTTGGTCATACGAATATTTCGAATCCGTGACCTCTGCGTTGCAGATCACCATTGTAACCGTTCGGCCACAGAGGCAATTACATACAAGAGCGAATCGCTACCGCTCGTACAACTGAGACCACACCTCAAGATCATTTATTTATTAAACTATGTATATAGACCACAAGACATGATTGATGAGCATTTTCTACCAGTCAACCTTTAAGAAAAACGAAATTCACGAACGCGGCAAAATATTATATTAATAATTAAACAAAATATTAAGTTCAAATATATATGACCAGTCAAGTCAGCGCCGCTACCGCTACGAGGCTGCCATCCCGCTGCGTGAACCTCGTGTGAATCATTGTGGTGCCCATGCAATACTTACTTCAATTTAATTCTCAGAACATTTCCTTTTTTGTCCTGCCTGTCAACGTAGCCGTTTTCAGGGTAGTGCTGCACCTCGTCGAAGTTCTGGTACACGACCTCCTTGCCGTCCACTATGTACTTCTCTGGTACACCGTTCATAAACTTCAC